TGAGAGGGTGCCAGGAGATTCCGAAAGGAGTTAGGGTGCTCGAAGGAAGGAAAGAGCAATCAGGAAAATTGGCCTCGCTCTCCACCATAAACGGTGAAAGGAGGTTTGAACGAAACCGAGGTGTTCTGAGGAAGGGAAGAACAGGCTACCAGAAGGTGTTCAAAGGAAGAACACTTTGTTAACGCAATAAGGCATCGCGCAATTGAGAGATGGTTGTCGCCGGAGAACGGCAGAAGTCAAGTCCAAGCAGGATGAGTTGTGACGATGTGGAGGGACTTTTGATGGAGGAAGAGCAGGGTATACCTCTTGAGTTGGGCAGTCCCAGAGCTGATGGAAAAGATCGACAAGAGAGCTGGCTCGCGTGCGTGCGGATAGTGCGTGAAGCGAAGGAAAGGGCAAAAACCGTGTTAGCCAGTGCAAAAATAGCTAAGCAAGCTAAAACCGATTTGGAAAAAGATTGGGATGTAGTAAGTGAAGCGGTAGGGAAACTAGCAAGAGAGGCTTTACACCATCCCGTAGTGCCAGAAGAGTTGATGAAAGAAGTTGTGGTTACGCTTACTCAAAGGGGAATAGAAACAGGAGCCGAATGGAGAGACTATGTCGATACTGTAGAGAAAGACGGAGAGCTCGTGAATGAGTTATGTGATTTCTTACAGACTGATGTCTCTCAGCTCAAGCGCACCGTAGAGTCAAGGTGCCAAAAGCGTCTCAGCAAGGACAGGCCCGAAACGCGGTTCGGCGAAGTGGTCGAGCGGAGACCTTCGCAACATTACGGTGGAAGGTAGTTGGCAAAGGTCAGGTGTGCAGGAGAGATCACGTCGGCGCATAACTGTCGAGCACATGGAGCGGGTCCATGGCCAACAGCTCCACTGCGAGAGGACGCAGGGGTGCTGAGCAGCGTTCATTTGGTGAACTACCTGAGGTCCATAGCATGTGCTGACCCGGGGGTGTTCAAAGGGACAAGAGGTGAAAATTTCGATGAATTTTTGAGAAAATTCAGGAGAAGGTATGAAACAGTGATTTCGTGCGATGAAGCACTGGTTGAGATACTAGCCGATGATCATCTAGCCGGGAGGGCTAAAAATGTATTTGCTTCGCTGCCACGCTCAGGGAGTGCGGGTTCGAGGCAGTCACGCAGGAGATGGCCAGGTTGATGGCATATGATTCTACAGCAGGCAGAAAGCGCTGACCGAGTTAAAAAATTTGAGGATGAGACCAGGTCAAGAAGTGTCCGAGTTTTGCGTGGTCCTAGAGAGAGTAGGCAGACAGGCAAATCCGGAGTGTACACTGGAAGACAGGTCGATGGAGTATGCCCAAATTCTACTCGACAATCTAAGCGACTGGCCTGAACACTTCCAGTTAGTTGGAGCGCTGCACAAAGTAGAGCCTCGTAAGGCGTATGAGGAGGTAAAGCAGCTAGCTCTGAGCATAGAGCAGTCAAGAATAATGCTAGGAGCGAATGAAAGACGCTCAATGGCGTGGAAAAGCAGGTGCGCACAGTACCAGTGTAGTAGAGAACAAAGATCTGCAGTGGTTATGGGTGAGAGAGACCCTGATATCGAACGGCGGAGAGCGGGGGAAAAGACCAGGTATAACGCAGAAACATCTCTTGCCAGAGAAGCAAGAGCAATGAATTTTTCAGATCATAGGCACCAGAGGCAAGAAGAGGGTCACCCCGAGGCAATGCAGAGCAAGAAATGCTACCGTTGCGAAAGATTTGGGCATATAGCGCGAGAGTGCCCGGAAAAAGCCTTGAGAGTAAACCATACATTCCAAAAGGAGTCCCCCTAGTGAGGATGAAACAAAGTTGTCGTCAATAATAGAGCGGAGCCGTAGTATGGAGATGAAAGCTCGACGAAAAAGATCTGATCAGAGCGATCTCATTGGGAAACGGTTAATGGTCCCTGTGCAGGCTTCTTGGAGATCGGTGTACAGCTCTTGTAGATACTGGTTCCATGATCAGCATTATCCCGTTGAAAGTCTTAGCGAAAGCGCAAGATCGGGGATGGGATGTTGACTCGTTGAAGGTAGTGAAGTCAAAGCTGAAACCAGTGTTTGATGCTTCCAACAGTGAGAATGAATTTCGTTGGCGCAGTTCACATTGAAGTTGAAATGGATAGTGGAAAACCCGAGATGATTGCGTTCCATATTAGTGCGGACAAGGAAACAGAGGCTATTCTGGGAACGGACGCGTTGGAGAAGTTGGGGGTTGACGTGACTGTGAATAAAGAATGCATGGACCTAGTATTTCGGGAGAGAAGA